ATACGGAGCCAGTAGGCTAAACCTGAAGTTTGTTTTTAATAAGCACTGTTACATTAATTAGTAAAAATAAAGCGTAAAAGTACCAGTTCTAAACTTGATTATGTTTATTGATCTCGTTAATGAATGTTGACTTAATTTTGTTTTTTCTTTCTACATCAATGGTTCCTAATACCGTAAGGTGTGCAGTGCCTAAAATACCACGAGCATGGCTGTTTTCAATCGACAAATTAGACATAGACTTAAAATGTAATCGAGATCTTCCCAGTTTCATGCTTGCATATGCACGTATAACTGGTATATGTTAGGAGCAAGCAAGGGGGGCGCCATAATTGGGTTTCGCTCCATCCTAAAACTTGCCTCAGGCCGGCACTTAGTGGACTTTAAAGTATTAGGTATTCTACCAGGCATTAGAACTGGAAGGCGCCGTGCTTCTTTCTAGATAATATGCTCATGTGAATTTCAAGCTTTTCATCACCTTAACAAAATAAAAAAAAATCATGAAATAAAAAACCACAGAGCCCACAAAATATACATATATTTCTGTTCATGTAATACATCCCTATATGCTTATTATACATTCTACATAAAATATTTTTATAAAGCAAGTTTACAACATGCGTAATATCATAAACGACTAATATTGTCCCACTTTTGGCACAAATCACACACAATATATTTTCTACTTACTTGTAAGCACATAGATTAACGAAGAATAATACGCTGTTAGAATATAGGACTATTTGTTTCTTCACTTACAAAGAAGGTACATAAATAAGTACTTAACAATGTATCTGTGAAAATAACCAAATTATTTAAAAATAGACTTTTTAATGACGGTACAGGCACACGACACAAACTTAATGACAACCCCAGTTTTAGTGACCCCAGTGTTGCCAGATGCCTTGCACCTTTTATCTGTATTAGAAACTGCTAAAATCTGTATTAAATCTGTATGCTATTTTAACTTAAAATCTGCAAAAAATCTGTATAATCAAATAAACCAAAACAGAATTATTGATCATCATGATCATTTCTTTTTTCAAAAACAAGGGTACAAGTACTAACGTGATAAGGTTTGATTATCGTTATTAAATAAAAATACACACTAAAATGTTTATACAACAAAATTGAAAACTTTAATTTAAACAAACAACATAATATATAAATATAAAACTCAAACATTTGCAACAAACGAACTAATAATTACTTTATTATTTTCAGCCATACATATTTTTGTTAAATTTCGACAGTAATTTATTATCAACCTCTGGGCTATAGCAAGGTTTTGCACCAATCAGTTGCTTTGTATGTAAAATACCTTTAATAGAATCTGTATTAAGTCTATTGCGTTGTTTTGTCTTCATTAAATTTATAGATGAGAAGATTCTCTCTACGGCGGCACTGGATTGAGGTAGACTTAAGATTGCAGAAACAAATTTGGACAGCGTAGGATATAATTGATTGCTCTAGTTAGCAGGATCATGGGCTGCAGTGACCTTATACCAGTATCTTTCAAGATCTTCTATATATATATATATATATAATAATAATAATGAATTGTGCTGTCCCATCATGGTATTCGCACCATCAGCGGCAAATCCGTTATTGTCACTCAAAACTATTTTAATATGTTGGTGTAGCTTTTCAGCATTAGCCTCTTCAAGGGGTATGAGACAAACAAATGCATCCTCAACTTTTCTTTCAAAAAAACGTGCTACTATGCATAAATGCTTAACAAATCCCCTATCTGTGCTTTCATCGACGATTACAGTTTATGTAACTTTTCTATTATCATCTGTTTTGCAGTTATGCCAGTCACATTTTTTACAATAGCTGTAGTTTTTGTTCTGTCACAACTAATACTTTTGCGATTTGTGAATCGGTACACACGTTTTTTATTAATTGTAGCAAGTGTTCTATAATGTTCATGGGAATATTATGTTCGGCTATAATTGCTGCGAGAAAAATTTCTAATATTTTGACTGGTTCAATATTCTTGTTTGAAAATAAATCTTTTAATAATGTTTGCGAGCTAGATCCTCCAGGACTTGAATTTACGTGTTTGTTTGTTTTTGTGTGTCTGAAAAGATCATTCTTCCCAGCACTTCCAATTGAAAGATCTGTGTTACAAAATGCAACTGTGTTACGAAAGCAAAGTAGGTGATTACTTTGCATATTACTAGGTCTCAACCACGCTTTATAGGAAGAATCTTCCATCCAATTCCGATTAAACTTTTGCATCACTCTGGGTTTTTTAGATGCCATAATGGTTCACAAAAACACAATCAATATTAATATTTAATAATTGTTTGTATCAATGTTTTTAAATATTTACATATTACCTATGCACGAAGTACCTTGGACAGCACGAAAAAATTTTGGGGGATTTCCCAAGCAGAGCGAGTGACACTTGTAATTCTGCTATACTAACAAATTACGTTATGAAAAAAATAAATTAACCATAAAGAATAGAATCATGCAATGATATGTGTAATGTGTAACGCGGTGTCTAGTCATAAGTATATTTTGCTTCGTTCTGTTTTAAATTGAATATTAAGGTAATTTAATCAATAGAGTCAGAAAACTCTGTATAAAAATCTGTATTACACTCGGAAAATCTGTATAAATACGGAGAAATCTGTATATATGGCAACACTGAGTGACCCTTCGTCTGAGTCATTCGGTCTGTGTCTAGGTCGTTTTGGTATTCTATACGTAAGCTAAACAGTGTAATACATTTGCATATAATTTATAAATATTTCATTTCATATGGTTACTAAGCCATTAAAGATTACTTTTGAATGCAACAATTTTATAAATTATATACCTTTCAACTCAATACACACTATACTAACCACAGTATAAATAATAGTACTACGTACCATAACAGATATCAGATCATAAAATATGTGATTGTAAAAAATCACAGGGCAAGCTTCCAATAGCAAAATAGTTATAAGCAGGGAAAATTAAATCTAAATTATTTATAAATTAACTAATGTAAATAATTTGTTTCTATACTTTAATAACAGCCTCAAAACATTAAATGATAAATGATTATAACTTACACATATTGTGCTATAATTAAATTTGGTAAATAGTATTTAAAAATAAATTATAATCATATTATAAAGTACAGACCACCTAATTATACGTTTTACCTGCATCAATGATTAAGTAATTTTACTTTATATAAGTACCTATATGAAAGTAAAATCTTATTCTACCACAGTGAACAAGTAGAGTTCTGTAAATTTAAGCGTTCTAATATAATTCTAGGTTTCCTACTAGCCTACTAGGCGACCTTTTTGTAATATATAATATTTATAAAGTCGCATAGAAGACTTTCACAAAGTTTTTCTGTAAGTAAAATTTTACAACTTCATGAACAGGACACTTAAGGGGTAGAGGACCTTAGTTTACACTGAATCGTGGCAAAGTAGGTAAATTTTTTGCTAAAACTATGGGTTTTTTCGTTTTAAAGAATTTTAACCGATTCTAACTTTATCGATATAAATTTTAATACGCTAGTTTTTGTAAATTCAAACGTTTATATATTACAAGAGTTATTGAGTCACTGTAGATCGTTTTATATTAGATCCGGTCAGGATCAGGTGTCGAAATGCAATTAATCAAAAACCGCAATCAAATTATTTCTTGGTAGAAAATAAAACCTGTAAAATAGATAGTGAAAATACCAAAAACTACTACCGAAACGTAAAAATGTTCTGACCAAAACCATTCAACTCAGTTGCACTTTTCCTATTGAAAGTTGATTATGCTACTTTATGCATCCAAAATGATTTAGAAAATCACGACAACAGACGTTCGAAAACTTGTCTATCTATATAATTATATATTTATAATCGATATAAGTATATATATTTCCCAACTACTGTAAAAATGGAAAGAAACTCTGCTCCAGAGCCCGAACTTGTGCGATGAAGTTCAACCAGACATGAAGTAGTTGATAACGGGCCTCGTTTAACTCTTTAAACGTCAGCCAAAGTATTGGCTTTAAAACAAATTGTTGAAGTATAAAAAATAAGTTCATATACAAATTGTGAACGCCATAAGAAATAACTTATCATATTATCATACATTATTGGGTCCTTTTTTACAAGTCGCGTGTCCGTGCTACGTGCGTGGATAGTAGGTAAGTAGTAAGTTAAAAAAAATAGGTGACTTCCATAAAACTCAAACTTATGGCTTAGCAATGAAAGTGATAATCAAAATATGACAAATGACGCTGATGCTTCTGCTTTATTATTTACTAGATTGAGTTATCACTAGGTGGTGAACGCAGCTTTTCGTGAAAGCTTTGCAGCTATACACCATTCCATAACCCAAATACGCACCAGCAAAAATTATTCCAAGCTTCTGCTATTGAATAATCCTCTTATTGATTTTAGTTACAATTAATAACTGTTTCAAATATAGTTTTAATATAACTTTTTTTATAATGAAAATAATTGATTCAATTTATCTGATAACGATCCACCATTACCCAAATCCAGATTCAGTGTACCAATATACTTACTTATAAAACACTTTGTTAGGAAATTGTGATCAGAAAATATTATATGGAATTTTAAGAGTTATCTGATTTTAAAAATAGTCCAGTCTTTTGATGAAAATTTAAAGATAATTCAATAAATTGTAATAAATTTAATATATTGTGTCCCAATTTTCAGTAATAACTCCATGATATGGTTGCTAATATTAATAAAATATGAATCTTTATAAATCTACTACAAATCAGTGATAAAATATTGTGTAGATAAAATATTATAAAAGTAACAAAATAAAGCTTATTTAATACATAATTTAGATCATACTCCAATATAAATATCACTTACAAATTAAAACTTTATAAAAATAAAAATAACATCTGTGTAATAGTATCATCACATATCATACATTTTAATTAAGAAACATGTTTTGTTTGGCCATGGTCATGAAAGTTTACTTTGAATAGTGGTTATTATATGGTTTTATCATTAATTCATATTGTCGAGTCTCTCTTTAAGTCGAAAATATATCTTTAGACTGGGTCGCAGTATGGTGAATAACATTACTAAAAGGACTAAAATCATGCTAAAATATCTTAATATTTCACCAAATGACCACCAGTGTGAGAAATTACCAAGTAATATAGTGATAACACCCAAAGTTAACGTCAACAAACCCACACTCGCGTGTAAAAGTTTTGTATAAATTGGCGCAATGTAGTTCTTTAGCTTTAAACTATACAAAGCGCCAATACCTCCTAAAGATGTTAAAGACATAAAGATCAGAGAAGCTAGTCCAAATTTGGCATGTAAAGTGGCAAAGTGAGATTTATTATTGATTATTTTATTAGAAAGTATTACTAAAAATCCGACTGTTATAATGGTTACAGCCAGTAACTGTAGAACCCAATGACGTGCACTGCGGAGTCGAATAGGCATCCATTCTGTAGCCAAGTCTCCTGGAGTAATTGCATTTATTGCGGATGTCATAATCATCAGCCACTGAAAGCACACATTCAACATTATAAAAATGAAATTAAATGTCATCATATAACTTATTATGTACTGCAAAATTATGTAATTCTCCTGTTGTAATTATTGTGCATACTGGCCACAAACATAAAATAAATGTAAAAACAAAGTAAATGCTATTAAAAAAAAAAGAATGTTTTGCAATGTTTTTTTTTTTCGAATTTCATTCGTTTTTATGTTATTATTGTGTAATATTGCATTCTTAATACTGCAAAAATTGCGCCACCTTTTGAATTAGAGTTTAAATTTAAGTTTTGTTTAAATGTTTGTCTGGATTGCCTTGTTTATCGTGTTAAGTGTGAATTATTACTGCAAATAAATTGAAAATGCCAAATCTAAACACCACTGTTACTTTAATTAAAACTGCACACCTACACAAACATGTGGCCCAAACACTGCAAGTACACAAATCCGCAGACCGGACAGTATACGGGACTTGACGGACAGTGTCGTAAAAGAAAAACTGTGGCCAGAGAAAACCGGTTCATCACCAGCGTGCTTAGAAATCTGACCTTAACTTCTTCTGAGATAAGAACGAAACTCCAGGAAGTTCGAGGGGTTCCAGTAAGCACAAAACTGTGAGAAATAGACTGAAATCGGCCGAAATAACTTCACAATTGCCTGCCACAGAGTTAATTCTGCTCGCAATTACAAAAATTGAAATGACGAAGTTTGGAGTCAAATTCTATTAACAAAAGTCCAGATTTTGCCTGAAGCTAGATTCCATAAAGGATAAGTGTGGAGACCCGGGAGAGATTCATAGGAAAAGAGGCATATGGTGGAGGGTCAGTTAAGGTATGAACTCCGTGTCACTGAGACCGCATAGAGCATGTTTAGAATAAGCTTAGACAATAAATTAAGAAAAGAAATCCTGCTCCCGCTAAATAGGATCCCTAAGGATTTTTGTGACACCTGATGGTAAGTGGTTGCTGTGACCCATAGACATCTACATCCATCCTCAATAAAGAATCAAAATGCAGATGCGTTGTCACCCGTGAGGACTAAGATGGACTCTTTTCCAGTAAAAAAGATCTCCGGTTCTCTACACTCACCATACGAAACACAGTGGTGTTAAACTGCTATTTTACGCCGGTATTCTGTGAGAGCGTGGTCCTTCCCCGGTCGAGCCGACCCATTCGTGCTACAACTATATCACCAACAGGGGTGTCACTTCCACTATGGAAGGTATGGAGCACTCCATACCTCAAGTTTTTCAAGGTATGGAATTCCATAGCTGAAATTAGGAAATAAATCGCATATTACTACAAACCCCATATAAATAAATCGCAAGCCCTTAAACCTCAATACCCCACATCTTATAGTTCAATAAATAAGTTGAGTATATACACTGCAAACTCTTAAACCTTAATACCCCACGAGTAATGCGAACAAATTTGAAAATCGCGCCACCATTTTCCATACCTCAGATTTTTACAAAGTGACACGCCTGATCACCAATATAGCTGCAGCATGGCTCTACCACGTATAAGAACGACGAATTCTAATATTGTAACCTAAGGTATCAGAAAATTGCCTATAGGTCATTACTTGGTATGCGCTGCGAAAGCTATCGATATTGGAATAAAATAATTTACTAGCCGATAATAAAGCTTATTAATTTCTACAAAAAAAAATATTCACGAGACAATAATATGTCCAACTGATATAGTTAAGTGACAATAACAGCTTTTGTGTTCTTATTTTTAAAATTTAATTAATACACTGGTATAATCGAAAGTTGATTACATTCGCATCTTGGTATTAACTCTTATTCAAAATATTAATTTCATAATCAAGGTTGTTTGTGTAGATATACATTCCTCCGTCAATTATTCGAACTGGACCTATCGTTTAGATTACTATTAGATTACTGAATAGACAAATGTTAAACGCAAGGATAATGCCGCGATGTGACACATTTTTCTTTCTGTTTGTAATAAAAACTATCACTGGTTCAGTATCTGTCTATCCTAATACTGCTCTTTGATATACCCTTATACTACGTCGGGGAGACAGTATTCATTTGCAAATGGTTGTCCCTAAGGCTAAAGTACCCGATGTTTTACAGCTATACCATAATGGTTGTTCAGGAGGCCACCTGGGAGTTAAACGAACTCTACTGAAGATCCGAGAACGGTTTTACTGGGTCAACTGTCGTGACGATGTCGAGGACTGGTTCCGCAAATGTACAAGTTGTGCGGCTGTAAAGGGACCTCAAACTCGTAGTAGAGGCGCATTGAAATTGTACAATCTTGGTGCACCATGGGAGAGGATAGCCATTGACATTGCGGGGCCGTTTCCGGAAAGTGAAAGTGGTAACAAGTATTTCATGGTTGGGATGGATTACTTCACTAAGTGGCCAGAAGTCTTCGCCATTCCAAATCAAGAATAAATATATAGTTTTAACACACAAATGTTATATATTTGTACTTTAAACGAAGAGGATACTGTTTTATATATCTGGAATCTATCCATATCTCTGGAATTAGGTGCAGGTAGATATGAAATACTATTTTTGCACGGCACTATTCAAATTACGCTTTTTTACCTACTTTAAAGGTTTAAAGCATGTGGCGTCATTTACATGGAAAAGTAAACCTACATAATATAAAATAATTAAAACATAGACATTAATTGAAACATAGACTCCGGCAGGGTATTCCACTCCAAACACACAATAATCTCAAATAAAGTAGTAAAAGTCCTCGTGTAACAACACTTACGGCTTCCTTTATTTAGGTAGCACAGACGTTTTGCCGAAGACTGTTGTACCAGTCCTTTAGTTCTACACATGGGCAAATAAGCTTTCGTGAAGAAAACGAGAACGGCATCCGGGGATTAAGAGAGCCTCTGCTCTTGGTAAAATGTACAGCATTTATCCTAGCCAATCAGAATACTTTCATTTATGGACTCTTTTACAACATGTTTGCAGTCCAACATATTTCCAAAGTTTGTTGACAGTTTTCGGAGAGGTCATGCCAATCTATCAAGCAGCCTGCAAAGAACTCTGCCTTAATACTTAGGACGACGAATATTGGAAATATACCTTAGCTAATACTTTCGGATTCAGCTCCTAAACTGAATTGATGGTTACAATTTTGTTATTTTGTCAACCTTCAGATCCCGTTGGTTTATTGCACACAGAGCGTCAGCAGAATAACGATGACGGTATGCCATTATGAAATGATATCATAAATCATGGACTTTGGCCTGCCTTACAGCAGAGAACCAACGAAAGCGACTCTGTAAGGACACCATAAGTACATGATTGCAACGACCTGAATGAGTACGTTTGTAATCACTTATCGCTTATAACGCCATAGTAAATAGAGTTGAAAACAATAAAGGCAAATTAATGTTTATCGATGCACCCGGAAGAACTGGAAAAATTCATCATCATCATCAGCCTGCGGCAGTCCACTGCTGGACATAGACCTCTACCAAGGCGCGCCACTTAGTCCGATCTTCGGCTACACGCATCCAGTTTCTACCATCCATCTTGAGTAGATCGTCGCTCCATCTGGTCAGGGGGCGTCCCACACTACATTTGCCAAGACGCGGTCTCCACTCCATAACACGTCTACTCTACCGGTTGTCACCTCTGCGACAGACGTGGACAGCCCATTGCCACTTCGGTTTACAAACACGGAAGGCTACGTCAGTAATCTTGGTTCTCCGGCGGATTTCTTCATTTCGAATTTTATCTACCAGAGAAACTCCGAGCATAACTCTCTCCATCGTTCGCTGAGCGATTTTGAGCTTGTGGCGTAGCCGTATCGTCAGTGTTCACGTTTCAGCACCGTAAGTGAGTACGGACAGGACGCACTGGTTGAACACTTTTGTCTTCAGACTCGCGGTATGGGCGACTAGAAAACCCGACGGAACTTTCAAAATGCTACCCAACTTAACTGAATCCTCCGATCAGTTTCCTTCTCGAAATTATTCTTACCTAGTTGCAATATCTGCCCCAAGGAGGTATATTCCTAGACAACTTCGAGAATTTCACCATCAACAGTAATTGGAACTGACATGACATGATCGTTGAGCATAACTTTTGTCTTATTCAGATTCATACACAGACCAACACGTCGGGAGGATCCATACTGTCTGTTCAGCATATCCTGAAGTTCTTGCAGCGATTCTGCCATGATGACATCCCCATATATATATATATATATATATATATATATATATATATATATATATATATATATATATATATATATATATATATATAGATACAACTGGATTGGTTTTGTTTGACTGCCCTGGACATCGTACTGGTGTTGTAAAGACATCTCAGCACTTCGATGTACCGCCAGTCAATTTGGCACCGCTGCAAATAATCCAGAACAACCCAAGTTTTGATGGAGTCAAAGGCATTCTCATAGTCCACAAATGCAAGACACAGGGCTGATTATACTCTGTTGTCTTCTGTATTATTTGCCGCACTGTGTGAATGTGGTCTATTGTGCCAAATCCTCCTCGAAACCCAGCCTGTTCCGCCTTTATGATGACCCTCAAAAACAACTTATAGACGTGGCTCAGAAGCGAGATGGGTCGATAATTTTTCAGCATAGTCTTATCACCTTTCTTGTGAAACAAGACTGTAATGCTTCTGCTCCACACCTTTGGAGATTTACCATCACGTAAGATGCAGTTAAAAACTCGGCAGAGCTCTTTTAGCAAGAGTTGACTCCCAGCCTTCAAGAACTCTGTTGTAACTCCATCTTCTCCAGGGGCTTTTCCATTTTTAAGTTGGCCGAGAGCCAGCTCAATCTATATCTCAAGATAGATGTCTGGCAGCTCTGGGACCATCGCAGTTAGAGTCAGGTGGTGGCTTATGTGAGGCATATAGTTTGCCATAATAGTCTTCGATCTCAGAGAGAACCTTAGGCTTTGACGTGAGGACTTTGCCATCTTGCGTCTGTAGTCTAGCGATGTGACTTCTCCCAAGATCCTGAGGAAAGACTTTGGATCCCTTGTTTCGCTCTATTGCCGCATGTATCACGATCACCTTAGAGCGGCACAGGTCCCGCCTCACAGCTTTCCTCACAAGCTTGGTTAATGTCACCTGTTTCGATGGCATTGCTGTTGTTAACTCACGCCTTCTTTTCATAAGCTGAAGTGTTTCATTTGAGAATTTCGACTTTAGGCCCATATGTTGCTTGCCACAAAACCTGTTGCCCTCATCCCTTAAGATCTTGATCACGCTGACAAGGTCCTCGTCAATATCTAACGTGGGTATCAAGGCATAGAATCGGTTTTTAAGTTCTAACTGGAAGCGTTGGGACTTGGGAGCCAGTTATGGTTTGAAGCAGATTTGATCGAAACGCCTCATTTTCACTTAAAATGGTCTGCGATTCTCTACACTCGCCATACAAAACACAGCAGCATTAAGTTGCTATTTATTGCTGGTATTCTGTGAAAGCGTGGTCCTTCCGCGTTCAAACCTACTAATTCGTAAAACAACCATAAAATAGCTGCAACAATGCTCTTCCACGTAATCTTCATACCCTTATAATTAACGTCAGAATTTTAATAATTTTATTAGCCAAATCTAAATCGGTCTAATCTGGTCAATGGAACTAGATTCCAAGTAAAATTGCTAAGAAATAAAGTGATTGAGTGTATCCTTACAGCGCCAGCGGCAGGTCAGTTGGCTTATATTCCACACATTCTCATGATCCCTACAGATTTAAGCGATAACAGTTCCCAATAATAATTTATTTCGCCATCATCAACAAATCCCTAGGTCAAACATAAAATATGTGACGATGTTATCAGGTATATATATACTTATGCCTGATAACATCGTCATATGACTCACAGAAGGTGCCTATAGGGTGCAATAAATAAAGTTGCAAAGTCCCTGATATTTGTATTACTAAATCACAACATTTTTTTACGTGGTAGAGCCATGCTGCAGCTATATTATGGTTGTAGCACGAATGGGTCGGCTCAACCAGGGAAGGACCACGCTCTCACAGAAAACCAGCATAAAATAGCAGCTTAACGCTGCTGTGTTTCATATTGTGAGTGTAGAGAACCGGAGACCCTTTTTACTGGCAAAGAGGCATTCCATCTTAGTCCTCATGGGTGACAATGCATCTGCATCTTGAGTCTTTATTGAGGATAGATGCAGATGTCTATGAGTCACAGTAACCACTTACCATCAGGTGGACTGTGTGCTCGTTTGTCACCTGATCCTATTAAAAAAAAACAGCCTAGTGTGGTCAGTGACGGGGAACGACTGGCGTTTGCTGCTGAACGCCTCTGGACACAAGTGTAAAATGTCAAATCAGCAAAATGTATGCAACTACTGTGTCCCTACATGGGCAAAGCCTTGCCGGGTCACTAGCCATTAATAAAATACATATTATTTTAATGGTTCCATGTTGTTCTACATCATAAGCACACAGTTAGCGTTTAATAGTTAATAAACATTGGATATTGTTCCCCAATGGGATATTACATGCACAGGTTAAATAAGTCACAAGATAAAATCATTATCAGCCACTGGACGAATGTTTAGTTCATATCATGTTTATCTAGAGATGCATTGGCCCTCATTCACATATTTCCTGTAATAGGGTATATTTATCATGTAACTTACAAAACGGTGACTAAGCGTTATTGTAATAAACACAATTTAGCATTCAAGTTGAAAAAAGATGTTTAAAATAAATTTATATGGTGATTAAATAAGTTAATCTATCTAGATGGTATGACTCCTCTTCTACCTAGGAGTCTGTCTTGGTAGGTACCACCCTCATACTATTTCTGCCACAAAATAGCAGTGCTTGCACTGCTGTGTTTCAATCTGCAGAATATAGGGAGCCAATATAATTACAGGCTACGAGATATTCAGAGATGATAACGCACTTGTAGCCTTTTTTGCTTAAAGTGAGCTGCAGAGTTCCATAGCCAGCAGTAGCCACTTATGATCAGGTGGACTTTAAGTTCGTTAGTCACTTCAGAGTTATGAAAAAAAAATAACTTTATGGATTGATGAATTCGTTAAGCTTTTCAGCAAATATGCAAGTGGGCTTTCCTATGCTTCTCTCAAAATGTTATCTATTTTATGAAAGAGGCTCTTGTCCACAACACTCATTTTTCAATGACTGAGAAGCCCTGCGTATTTAAAAAGACTAACATTTCAAAAACATTGCTGTTCAACTAAATTTACAGGCAGGAGTAATATGTAACACATTCTGACTTCAAACAAGGCAAGTAGTGAGGCGCCTAATTTACAGTGTCTTGCATCCACTTTTAAGTTTAGTTACTATAAGTTTTTAAAGGTATTTAATTATTAATAATTATTATTGCTAATTCACCTTACCAAACAATTTTATAAAATTAATCTATTAATATATACATACATAAAAATAAAACATTATATATTTAACTTACCCCTAATGACATCAGGCTAGGGTGAAATGAAAATAAAGAAACACCATCTCTAAAACAGCAATAGATTATGATGGCAATGAACATTAGTGCACATAAGTTGCTAGCCAAATTCAAGTAGCTAGGTGGTGATGTTGAATTTGGTGGTACAAGGTGCGATGTTTCAGAAGTTCGCTCAACAGGTGGCATGTCTGATAAATTTGTGGTGCTATTTTCTTCTACTGACTCCATAAGCTTACCTACTCCTTAAAATGTTTAATATATACACTGTTTTTACAAAATTCTCTCAGTTAAAGTCAGTAGTAAATGAAATAATAAAATAACTGGAATAATTATGTCTCTCTCTGTAGTACTTCTCTCTTCTACTTATCCATCGAGGGGTGTTGTCTTCGCTGGGAGTAAAAGTGTTCTGAGGGTGTTATCAATATAAATACATAATTATATCACTTTCCTTGGGTCTTATCTGATAAGATTCACGATTTTTTATTTATTATTATTGATCTTCGAATCTTTTTTCTTATTAAGATTTTCAGCTTGGATGCTTGTTCTTTAAGCCATATCTTCATCTAAAGATCATTGTATAATTTTTTATTAAGAATTTTGGCTTGGATGCTTATCCTTTAAACCATGTCTTCATTTATCTCAGTATCTTCATTTGTAGTACACTGCGTCACAATAATATTTTGATGCGTCACTTTGCACAGCACAGCCTCTGGGAGTATTTCGACGGCAACTTAAGCCAGCAGACAGTTGGTGATAGTATCTCAACATGCCTAAGCAGACAGAGACACCTTCGTGAGATTCACATCACAATTGGATCACTTGTTTCACCGTTTTCACTAATGGTTCACGTGCGCAGACATTTAATAAACAAAATCGCACCACTTTTATATATCAAAATCCATTTGAAACGATTATTAAAACAATAATACAGGAGCAGCAATCCACCGTCGGTCGAGTTTCCGCCAAAACTCCGATGCTATTGCTGCGCTAGTTAGGCCCGTTACAGACATACGGAAATCCGTTTCGGGATTCCGTTTCGATATTCCGATTTGAGAATCCGAACGCAGCAAGTTCATATAAAATCTATAACCCGTCACACACGTACGGTAGTTTTCATATGGACAGGCACAAACTATAGTTTTCAATGAGTTTACCGATCACTCACCCATATTACTATATATTTCGTTGTCAGCAGTACAAAAGAAAAACCTCAGATGCGAGAAAGTTGACATAAATCTAGAAAAAATTAAAAACGGTATCAAAGACATCTCCTGGGAAAATTACTATAGGTTAAGGGATTGTAATCATGCAGCAGAGTTTTTAGTAAACAATATACATAATATAATATCGAAAAACACTTTGATAAGGACAGTACCTAAGAAAAAGCAACCACTTAAACCATGGATAACCGTAGGGTTATTAAAATGTACGCGAAAAAGGGATAAAATGCACAGAAACCTTAAGCGATCTCCTCATGATGAGAGTATTTTAAGCGAATATAAGCAATATAGAAACATATGCAATAATATCATAAAAACTCAAAAAAGAAATTATTTAAGAAATTTGTTAGAAAAAAGACGTGGGGACATTAAAGGTACATGGGACATTATTCAAAATTTAAACAACTTAAAAAAGGTTAGCAATACACCCGTTGAATTAATCTGTTCTCGTGATTTGACACCTAAAGAATCACTTAATGAACTGAATATATATTTTACGTCGATTGGCAAAACACTAGCTGAAACAACATTAAAGCTACTTAGTGAGACGGAAGAGAGGCTAGCTAGTAAGAGTATGCACAGTAGAAGCTGTGTCGACTCAATGATGTTTTTACCCACTGATCCATTAGAGATAAAGAAAATTGTACAACAGATGAAGGATGCAAAAACACCGGGTTGGGATAAGATTAGTGCAAAGATCATAAAACAATCAATAGATATTCTCGTTGATCCACTATGTACGGTGGTAGAGCCACACAGCAGTTTTTGCTGTTGCATGTATGGGCTGGCTCAAGCCGGGTTGGTACCGCGACCTCACAGAATACCGGCGTGAAGTAGAAGCTTTATTTCTGCGTTTCGTCTGGTGAGTGCAGGTGGCCGGAGGCCCAATTCCCCCCCCCCCATCAACATGGTAGCGGAATTACACGAAGAACTACCCCAGGAGGGTACCAGCACCCCTGGAGAATCCCGCGCTGAGCATCCACGACCATGTTATTCCGATCCTGAGCGTGGGTGCTCAGGCTGCCCCGCGTATTCTGGGGGGGGGGGGGCAAAATTCCGCTCAAAAGCATTACTGCTAGGGGCAAACTGAGCAAGAACACCAAGGCGACCCCTGCCACGCTATCCGTGAATTTCTGCAACATCAGGGGACTTCACTCTAACCTAAACGCCGTCCACTACGATCTCGAGACGGCGAAGCCGGCCTTGCTCTTTCTGACCGAGACGCAGGTTTCCTCTCCGGCTGATATTTCGTATCTCTCCTACCCGGGGTACAAATTGGAGCATTCCTTTGTGCCTCGGGCTGGAGTTTGCGTGTATGTCAGAGAGGACATCTGTTCTCGACGCCTCGGCAGTCTTGAAGGTTCGGACCTGTCCATCCTTTGGCTACGCGTAGACAGCGACGACCATCCGCGCGTCTACGGGTGCCTCTATAGGTCCCATAGCGGTAATGCCTCATCGACCACGTCCAAATGGCTACAGATTTCTTGCTACAACAGGTCTCATCCGCAGAGATCGTGATCCTTGGCGATTTTAACGCCCACCATGCCGAATGGCTCGGTTCACGTCTAACCGATCATGCGGGGAGATCTGTTTATGACTTTGCCTTGGCATATGGTCTGACACAACTGGTTACTTCGCCTACGCGGATTCCAGATGTGGAGGATCATACACCTTCCCTGTTGGACCTTCTGCTGACCTCTCATCCGGACGGATATCAGGTTTCCGTCGATGCCCCTCTCGGCTCTTCGGACCATTGTCTGATCCGGAGTGTGGTGCCACTCACGCTCCCTTCGCGGTTGCGTTCTGCAGGTTGCCGCCGTGTTTGGCATTACAGGTCGGCGGATTGGGACGGAATGCTGTCCTTCTTTGCATAATACCCATGGGGGCGGGTTTGCTTCTCGCCGGATGATCCCAGCGCTGTTGCTGACTCTGTCACTGATGTGGTGCTACAGGGAATGGAACTATTTATTCCATCATCTGTGGTACCCATCGGAGGCAGATCTCAGCCTTGGTTTGGTCGCTTCTGTAAGACTGCATTACGCAGTAAGCAGGAGTGTTATCAAGCCTGGGCTGCGGCTTCGGCGACTCGGGATGTAAATACCAGCACACTTAAAAAGAAGTATAACTTCGCCTCCAGGTCCTTCAAAAGAGTTATTGCCAAGGCAAAGTCAGAGCACATAGGCAGAATTGGCGAGAAACTAGTTCGCCTTCCTTCGGGAACCCGTGCATTCTGGTCTCTCGCCAAGGCTGTCCAAGGGAATTTCTGTAAGCCATCACTACCATCTCTGCACAGGGAGGATGACTCACTGACCCATGACGCAAAAGACAAAGCCGACCTTTTAGGCTCCCTTTTTGCGTCCAACTCGACTCTTGATGACGGGGGGAAAACACCGCCGACCATCCCGCGGTGTGAGTGCTCCATGCCGGATGTGCTGTTCCCACAGCGCTCGGTTCGCAAAGCACTGCTCTCCCTGGACATCCAGAAGTCGAGTGGGCCTGACGGAATCCCCCCAATTGTGCTGAGGACGTGTGCTCCGGAGTTGGCACCGGTCCTAACGCGTCTTTTCCGGTACTCCTACTCCCAAGGCGTAGTCCCGAATTCATGGAAGACAGCTTTTTTCCACCCGATCCCTAAAAAAGGCGACCGCTCAGACCCATCCAACTATAGGCCTATCGCGATCACCTCCTTGCTCTCCAAAATAATGGAATCCATTATTAACTGCCAGCTCATCCGGTACCTTGAGGATCACCAGCTGATTAGTGACCGCCAATACGGTTTTCGTCGGGGTCGATCAGCTGGTGATCTTCTGGTCTAACTGACCCATAGATGGGCGGAGGCAGTCGAGTCCAAGGGAGAGGCGTTGGCCGTTAGTCTGGACATTGCGAAGGCCTTCGATCGGGTTTGGCACAAAGCGCTTCTTTCGAAGCTCCCTTCCTATGGGCTTCCCGAGAAATTGTGCAATTGGATCACCAGCTTCCTTGCAGATCGGAGCATCAAGGTCGTTGTAGACGGTGCATGCTCTGACTACAAGCCTATTAACGCTGGTGTTCCACAAGGCTGTGTGCTATCACCAACGCTGTTTCTTCTGCATATCAATGATATGTTGCTAACTGGTAACATTCATTGCTATGCGGATGACAGCACTGGTGATGCTCTATACACCGGCCGTGCCAATATTTCTCGGGAAAACGTCGCTGAGTACCGGAACAAACTTGTGTCTGAAGTCGAGTCTTTGCTGAGCAAAGTCTCGGATTGGGGGCGACTAAATCTAGTCCAATTTAATCCTCAGAAGACACAAGTTTGCGCGTTTACCGCTAAAAAGAACCCCTTTGTCGTATCTCCTCAGTTTCAAGGCACTCCCCTTCTTGCCTCAGCCAGTATCGGTATCCACGGAGTCGACATATCGAGTGACGTGCAGTTTCGTGGTCACTTGGAAGGGAAGGCCAAATTGGCCTCTAAAAAGCTTGGCGTGCTCAGCAGAGCGGACAGTATTTCATGCCGGCACACCGCCTGCTACTTTACAAGGCGCAAGTTCGGCCTCACATGGAATACTGTTCCCATCTCTGGGCAGGGGCTCCCCAGTGCCAGCTCCTTCCACTTGACCGCATCCAACGCAGAGCGGCTCGAATTGTCGACGACCGAGCCCTTTCCGATCGGCTCGATTCATTGGCACTGCGAAGAGATGTTGCATCCCTTTGCATTTTCTTTCGCATCTACCATGGGGAGTGCACTGAGGAATTGTTCGGATTAATCCCAGCCGCCAAATTTCACGAATGCACATCGCGGCAGAACTCCCGATACTATCCACACCATCTGGATGATTGGCGGTCCACCACTGTGCGATTTAGAAGATGTTTTCTTCCTCGCACGACCTCCTTGTGGAATCGATTACCATCAGCGATTTTTCCGGACCGATACGACTTAGGGACCTTCAAGAAAAGAGCGTACTCCTTTTTAAAAGGCCGGCAACGCATCTGCGATTCCCCTGGTGTTGCAGTTGTTCATGG